CTCTTATAGAGACTGAAAATAATCTAACAAAACATCAGATTCTTTGCTGATGTCTGTGTTTTTATAGCCACTGTAGCAATGATCTGTTTACATGCAGGTGTTCCTTCTTGTCATCACTTCCTGTTAATGCTCATGTGAATCTCTCAACAACTGATAGATATTGACTATGACTTTCAGTTAAATTTCATTACTCCACTATGCAGTTTTCTAAATCGCACTACAAATTTATATACATTCACATACCAAATTAAATAGTTTTTGTAGAGGTTGATATCTCTACCTCTCTTGTCTCTGCTCTGCCACTAATCCCGCTCCACAGGTGCAGCCAATCTACTTACCTAGAGGATCAGTATTTAAGGAGGAGCTGCACAACAGGCAGATGCTGGGACAAAGAGTCTCCGTGGTAGGACWCTCTCTGGCTCGTGTGATTATTTTCCGAGTAAAACCTTAATGTTTTATTTTCTGGATTTCTGCAGTTGTTGAGATCGGCTCCACCACTTACCTCCCTGTTYCTTGTGGTTTCACACCTGTGRAAACTCACCTTGCTGCTGTTCCTTACCTCCGGATCACCTCCCTTCACCTCTGGTCCTGGACTGGGTTCTGAGTCTGCTGAGCAGCTTACCTCTGGCTCATATCTTGGCAAAACCTCCGAGAAGGACCTCACTGTAAAAACCTTTCACCACTCACCTGTAAATWCTCACCTGGTGCTCACKGAACAGCCTGCGACTGCTCATACCACCTCCACTAAAGGAATCTCCAAGTCTAATCATCTTCAATTACAACATCCTCAAAATCTTCATYRCTGTGAAACTTATCCAGAAATGAACCTGACTCCTCTCCTCTGCAGTCACTGGCGATCCCAAGTTATTTCCTGATTTTTGGGCCACTGTAAAAAAATATTTTTTTAATCTGAGTCTATTTCCTGAACCACTTGCCTTCGACAGCCTAGTGACACTTAACAGTTTTGTCTTTTGATATAATTTATTTTATCTTTAGAAACCAAGTTGTACACTTAAGATGGTGAATATAATTTGAAACAGAATACCAGAAGTCTACATTATACCTGCCAACAGRAACACCTGTTCATGTTAAYGAGCTGCTGTGAAGTRAAGCAGTTCCAGGGGTTTATTCCCCCAGAAAACTCTGTAAATCTACACGAAACTATGTATTTTCCAGCCATTTGAAGATTATTTTCCTAAACTCTTGGGATTATTAAAACAATCAGTATTTTATGAAGGTAGAACACTGAAAAACCAGACTTTCACCTGAACGTTATCTGAGATCATTACTGAAACTTCCATTAACCTTATTTGGTTTTCTATTTACACACTGAACACCAGTAGTTAGTTTTGATTGTCATTTGATACTTTTATCATGAAATATTCTCTGCATCATATAACACCTACATGTAGTARCAAAGCAGATGAGAAACCCACAGAACAAATTACCTTCGTAAACTTGCGGAACCAGTGATTWTATGCACTAAATCAACTAAACTCTGATAAAAAGTTCTAAAATGTTTTTTTTTCTGTCCACCATTTGTGGTGCCCCCAGAATGGACAGTGCCCTTAGCACTTGCCTATACTGCCTTTGCCACAGGCCGACCCTGCAAATGATCTGCATGGAAACTGTAAAATTTAGGCAAAGGGCAGGTGTGGCGTACTTTGTCTGGTTCTCTGGTTGCTTCATTGTCAGTAGTTCATGAAAAGCCTGTTACAGATAAAAATGGTATGGTGGTAGCTGAGAGTCATCATCTCTCACCGTTTCTTCAAAGAATACAAGATTCTTCATTTTACTCTTTCTGACATTACAGCTTTGTTCAGCTGCTCACTTCATGCTCCACTTTTCTTCACATTAAGCCAAACTCCACTATTTGATGCTTACATAAACTGCATATGATTCAGGCTTCAGTAACAGGCCAATGAGACATGGTAATTCCGCCTCCCTCCCACCTCAATGTCCTCCTATCATGGCGCACAAAGCTGTTTCAGCCATCCATGCATAAGCAACACTAGCTGTAGGCACACACACACTTACACACATTACAAATACTCRGTCAGGATGATGTGTAGACGTTTCAGGAAACAGGCAGAAAGCCTTTTGTTCTAAAGAAAACATGTTTGTTGTGCTGCAAGCTATTCTTTTTTTTATTACAGATATGATCATTTTCACATTTAATCATCAGAATGTTGTGTAATGTTCAGTAAATCACAAAATAATGTTAAATATGTTGAATTACTTGAATTTAAAATAAAGTGATAAATTATTACATTTGTTAATGGGAAACCTTACAATTTAAACAAATGAAAAATTATCTAAGGCACCTTTCTGAATTGCAATTTCTTTATTATAAAAAATAACACTGTTGTCTTTGAAACCTTCTTCAGCATATTTTATTTTTGCTTTCGTATGCAACTTTTAGTTTTTAGGTTTCATTCTGCTCCTTCTAGCTTTTAGGGATCTCTTTACCACTTTTACCTACACTTCTGCTTCTTTCTTTCTTGCTTTCTTGCTTGCATCTTTATTGATAAATCATTTCTTATTCCAGGGAGTCCTGGCCAAGATGAGGGCACAATTCAAGAACAATTATATAAAAGTATTACAACAAAAAAATGTCAGTAAAAATTAAAAAAAATATACAAATAATAGAAAATTTTAAGCATGGGTTAAAACTTGAAAAAGCTAGGAGATAAAACTGTGCTAGACAACTCTCACAGGTTAAAAATGAACAGAAACAATTTGTCTTTGTGTAGATTTAAAAATAAGTTTCATGTTAGATAGGGATCTGCCCAAATGCTGATATTTTACAGATTTTCCCAGAGAAATGGAGCACACTAATTTAGCTACTTTATCTAAACTTTTTTTTTTACTTTTAGCTGTTATCACCTTTTTGCTACTTTAGCCATTTATGTCTAATTAGTCATAACTAGCCTTTTTTGTTGTTTTTAGCTTTAAAAATAGGCTATTACTATTTTAGCTAGCCTTTTAGTTCTTTTAATTCTAGCGAAACTSTAGCTACTTTTAGTTAGTGTTTTGTTATTGTTAATTTCTGACTATCATTTTTGCTATTTATAAATTTTAGCTACCTTTTTTGCCGTGTCTAACTAGTGTTTGGCATTTTGTTCCTCTTACGGTTCATTTTATTTCAACTTTAACAACTCAATTTCAGTTTCTTCAAATAATTTCAGCAGGCATTCAGCACTCAGTGTTCATCTTGTATTTTTACAGAAATAAATCTCTGTTTGCTTAATAAAGACTCATTCCTTGTGTCTGTGTTATAATAAACTAAATTTATATCCAAGTTGCACTTAGAGACCATTTATCTCATTTCCCTGCAGTTATATTAACTTAATTCCTGTCACAATGTACTTTTAACACAACATACCTCTGTTACAGTAAGTACTACATGATACYTTATTATCAAGGTTTATTTCTGCAGGCCTTGACAAACTAATGTGATGCACATATTTGTGTTACTGCTCATTTCAGTGGTTCTAAATTATAATAGTTGTTTTTTTTTTTTTTCTCTCTCTCTTTATGGGTCTGGGAGTGTTGTTCTTTCAGTTGCAGCCCTCTGCAGGGGTTGCCACAGTGAGCAAATTCCCATGAAAAGTTTGGCAAGTGCTTTCAGCCGGATGCTCTTCCTGACACAATTTGGGCTCAGACCTGCAGCTCTGGGATTACAAGACTGAGCTACATGCAGCCCGGATCTTGCAATAATTCATTCAATCCTTCCCAACACGTCATTTCAAGCTAAAATTTAGAAACAAATTTAAAGCTCAAGTTTGGCCAAAAAAATACTCTATATATTATCAGACTGACACGTTTTTCATTGATCACCCAGTCAAAGATAAATGATTGAAATAATTACTAAGCCTTTCAATTTAAGAGTTAAAAAATCAAAAGATTATAAATTATTAATGGATCCATGAAATATTTCTTTCATTTGGCGTGTTTAAGTCAAAGTTCTTCTTTGAGGCCATGATCACAAGACTGAGGGGACAATTAATGAGTCAWATATCCAGAGGAAGAGTGAAAATACAGATTAAATAATATAAAGGATGAAGCTCAGCTACCACTCCAAATKTCAGTCTAATATCTTAAACTATAGCCATTATTTTGTGTTTCCTAAGATCAGTTTGTTGTGGTGGCCATCTTGAATTCAATCAATGAGCATAATTTGTGAAAACTTCGTAAAAAAACCTGTTCATGAGATTTTTTTTTGCTAACACAACACATAAACAAACTCCCTCAGACAAAAYGTTATTCACCCTCAGAGGCGGGCAATAAACTGGAGACAAAATGTGGATTGAAATTTAAAATGCAGAGAAAGTGCAGCTGAGGGTCACGGACCTTCCAGCAGACGCAAAGCCGCGCGTGTGTGCTTAACCGTGTGTGTCTGCGCAACGATGAGCAGCAAACATTAGGGGTCGAACGACAGGTCAGAGGAACRAGTGAGGTCAGGAGACAATACGATTTACAGAAGCTTGAATACACATGAGCAGGAACTGTATGTAGGTGTACATCAAGGAAAAATAGGACAAAAACTAAAACAGGGACGTGGAAGGGCATACCAGTGTGTGTGTGTGTGTGTGTGTGTGTGTCTACTGATCCAGGGAAGCAACTGCAGTAGCATTTGGGATCTTTTTGCTTTCCAAAGTTCC